ACATAAGTTTACATGTGTGCATGCGCAAATATCTCAGGCAGAAGGCTCGGTCTACTCACACTGGTATCTTATGGCCATCGATCTACTATGATGCCGTTGAGAAGGACCCCTTTATTCTATTCATAACTTCGCTCTCAGGCTACACAATGCCCCGTTCAGTATTAGAGTCAACTAGTAAGCTTCCTCTGCTTCAAAGTTGATGCTTACACGCCAAATGGGCCCTAGACAGACCCTAGAGTCGTATTCGACTCGCCTGGTACAATCGATTGATAAATGCTGCTTTCGTCTGCCGACGGTTCTCACGATAGTTAATGACCTATTCCAGTCTCTTCCTGCGTCAGTGTGTATGGCGAGGGCCTTCTGCAAGTTGTATGAGCTTTTGAAATTGTCTGCCACTTCGGTCAGGAGTTCAGAAATGGCATCGGTCTCGAAATCTTGTTCCCACGCTGGACGCTCGAGGAGAAGGTAGGAAAAGTCCTCCTCGTTTGTAGCCTCGTTTGTAGGCGAAGACCGAATGCTCCAGATAACCACGAGATAGAACACCGCGGGAAGCCTGACGTACTCATCACCCAGCGATCCAGCGTCGCTGAAGTCTGCGGGCGACACATGAAAACGGCACGCCGTCCACTGCTTTCCGAGCATGCCCACGGGCGCCATGAAAAGATTCCGCTCGGCGTCAAAGTGATTAGAGGGCCACCTGTTGTAGACGTACGCCATGACGCCTGGGCACGCGATGGGATCGATGTGCAGCACTGCCATGCAGGAGGCAGCTCGTTGGAACAATGGAAGGAGGGTGTGGCTCTGGCGTATGGAGGTAAAGGCTGGCAAGGATACAATCAGGTAGATGGTCTGTCTTTTTTCAAAGGCAGGCTTCTCCACATAGTCGACTTTATTGAACGTGTTGGGACGAGACGGATCTCTGGCGAAGATGTCGCGGCCCCATTTCTGCAGCGGAACCACAATCTCGACGGCGTTCTGCAGGCCAGAGTAGCAGCCTAGACGCAAGATGTACGATGTACGGCTTTCGCCACCCACGGGCGAGACTGTTGTGTAGACCAAGTCTCTGGACGTCTCGAGCCGGATACCCTTGTTGGTCATGACAAACTCGGGCTCCATCATCCCAAACGTGTCCCTCCTTGACATGGAGTTGCAGGAAGCAAAGTCCGCGGGGCTCTCGGCAAGACAGCCCCGCGCGACGTCGACCTCGCGACGAGCGACCGGGCACGAAGGAGACCAAGTGAAAATGCTGAGATCATTCGTCTTTTGGATAATATGCTCTTGCAACCGCAGAAACGCGTTGTCTTCCTCGCCGTACAGGAGCGGCATGTTGACGCCGAAGAGCCCGAGAAGACAGTAGGCCATGTCCTCCTTACGCGTCGTCGTTCGGCGGGCTGCCCACGACATCTTCTCCGCAACGCAAATGACCCCAGGCGGTGTGCGACCGTCCAGAACACGGGAGTTGATGCTGGTGATCTCTTCCAGCTGACGTCTGAGTCGTAGCTTGGTCCCGATGGTGCGCCAGGCGTTGTCTGTAGAACCGGACATCTTGGGGGGCGATGAGCTCTTGCAGCGTCCATCCTCGCGTGACCCAGCGACCAGGTTTCCACGCGTCAATCTGGCCGTCGTATCCCGCGGGAAAGGATGGTAAGTCTTCGAGGTACACGTAGCAGACGTGGGCGCGATGATACCACATGAACATGGAGTTAATGGCCTCCGTGAGCTCGGCGCTACTGGATTTGTCGATGCAGCACGTGTCGACCCAGACGTACTGGAGGCCTTCGGCGGCGGCAATCTCGCAGCTCTTCAGGATCTTGGCAAGGCCTGCGGAGGTGATGGGACTCGCGTTGCGCTCAAGCCACTGCCTGAACGTGACTTCGCTGCCATCTTCCGTGCCCCAGGTGTGGGAAAGAATGGCGTAGGGTGGGATTCCGCTGAAAAATTCCTTGAATTCAAAGGTTGTTGTGTTGATGAGCCGCATGTTTCTCGTTCACCATGAGGCCACTCGGTACGATAGGGCAGTCATCGAATGTGGAGCGTAACCCTAGTATGTGCTATGTAGCTGCGCAGGGTGGACGTTGGGATGAAGCTGTCAGCTACGCCATGGGGCACCTTCTCTCACGACGGAGACAGCAGAAAGAGGGGTCATGCTGGGTTGGCGCTGGGTTGTGCATATGCAGGGTGTCACGCACAGCCTCGTCGGTCCAGTGGTTGCCGCAGTGTCTTCGGGCCAGTCAGAAGCCTTACGACGTGTATCCTGAACGACGATGCAGGAATGAGTCCATGAACTGTACCCAGGCGGCATCTCTCTTCGAAGAAGAACCGGCGGCACAGATGCCTCGAGCCAAAGCACCCCGAGTCGAGTGGCTGAAGTCTGAGGCTGGTCTGTGGCTCGTCTGAGGCTGGCTTGTGGCTCAGAAGCGATATCTGATCAAGTATCGAGGCTGACGTCACATAGCGTTCTGCCTACTTCCACTTCTTCTGCTCTTCATTTCCTTCTCCATCACCAACACCACCACAACCATCATCATCATCATCATCAAGATTCGCTCGAACCCGGTATGATCCTCCAGCTGGCGACGGCCAGTCATTCGATAGCCACTCAAAACAACGTCGTATCGCGTCGTGCCAGCGCGGCGACACCAATCCTGTTGCAGCAATGTCGCGTGCGGCGCACCACCATCGACCACACAGACGAATGACGGGCAAACGAGTGAGGTCATTGCCTGGGCTTCCCTGTCGGCCAACGGACCAATCATCATGAACATCCCGATGCCGTTCCTGGATGGATCCAGTCCCATTCAGAGCTTCCACCCATGTCGGCGCGATGGGTACAGCCGTCGAGCCTTGACCGTCTGTCCCCTGACGGCCCCTCCCCGTGTCACATTGCCAACTTTTGCTCCGGTCTTGCCTCCCTGGCGAGCCCCCCCAAACCTCTCCCCCCCCCGCGACCCTGAACGGCGGAGAGTCGCATCCATGATTTCATCGGGACCAAGCTTCCCGACGCCGCCCCTCAGAAATGGGTGAAGTGAGAGCTTTCCTTGGTCCTCCTTGGCCACCTCACCCTGGCATCGGTGAACAAGCGTCCGTCTTTCTTGGCTGATACCAAGCCTGATGTTCTCACCCATCCTCAGTTCCTCAGGACTGCGGAAACTGGTCGGCAATGTACTGGTCTGGGGGAGATCTTGACTGTTTGAAGGACCCTGGTTTGGTGTCTTCTGGTCGGGCCTTGCTGGACAAAGTTGTCCGTGAACTGGCGATTTCCCCTAAATGGATCGCCTCTTCTCCCGTTTCCTGGCACCTGGTGTCTTTTTCACATTTTGCTCGCTTTATTGTCGTGATGGTCGTTGATTCTGGCTGTCCATCTTATACTCCCAGCTCACCCTCCTCCCCCTCCCCCTCCTCTTCATCTCGTATCGTCTCGGAGATTTCTTTGATACGACATTGTTCCCGCCAAACTAAGACCACAGACGCCCCCGGACTGTGTGACAACCCCTACCGCATTCGCCCCCTTCTCCTCACCTCCCCCAGTATTGCGACATCATAGGCCGTCCTGCACTGCAGACCTGCCTGCTGCTCCTCCAGCCTGCTCCCTTCTGCGAGGCCGACGTCAGCGCACCTCAGCGCACCCCAGCGCGCCCGCTCTGCCGGAAACGCCTTTCGTATCTGCCCGCCGCCGCCATGTCGTTCGCAGGGCTCCTACCATCATCACCCTCACCACATAGCCCAGGGCCTTCGTCTTCAAGTTTTCACACCTCGCGACCGAGATTCAATTCCCAACTGACCTCTGATCGCCTACGCGAAGCTTCCATCATGCCGGCCTCCATGGTTGGCAACATAAAAAAGGGCCGCCAGTCCGTGTTCAAGGAGGTCGGGCTTGATGACGACCTAAGCGATGACGGCTCGCAAGGTGG